TGTCACGAAGATAATGCCGACTCAAGTTTATTTGTCTGTTTCCATTGCGTCAGTCTATTGACGGTACTGATTTCGTATACAGTAAACCTGAGAACGAAACTTACTATGCACATTCTGTATACATACTACTCCTCCAGACTGCTAATATAACAAGTGTGGAAACACTAAGTCAAGGACTTCGGTTTTCATATTTTCGTCACAAATCGGTAAACAGAACGTGTATTTACTATTGCCCTCAAATTTCCACATAATATTGACTAATTGGTAGAGGCGACAATGAAAGTGTTTACTGTATATTATAAGTACAGGTTATTACACGGAAATTCCCGTGATAAAATATCAAAATCATTAGTAAAGAAAAGTCACCGCGACATCACAGGCTTATCTTGTAACCTGTTTAAGACACTAGTGTGGAAAAATCAAAATGTGCAGCCTTGTCTTCCGTGAAGCCTAGCCTGTATGTACACGGGTGGTATCGGCTTGTATCTCGTGTAATTTAAGTTCTTGTGATCTTGTGGGTGAACGTCGAGTTGACTTTACAGTCAAAATCAAATGAGCGGTGAGGCGGAGAAGAGCGTTCTGTCAAAAAAAAATTACCGTAGACTCAATTTTAACGACCAATCTGCAGCGTTGTATTTATTATAAAATCAACGTTTCAACCCTGCGTTACAACCAACAAGCAAAGATGGCTGGGTGACGGTCAAAGTCTGTGCAACAACAACGTCGCTGTCAGACGTAGATTGTATAAAAAATACTGGACAATGTTCGATAGACGCAATGCATGGAGAGATGCGATTTGATTTCGCGGTTTTGAGCTGTCGAAGTATTTCGCGAAAAATAAAAAAAAGGTAACGCCATACGAAGCAGTCAGGCCAATGTCTTTTTGATATCCGAAACTTGGAACCTCTAACAGAACGGTTATTTCCTGCACGCCTACCAGTATTACACAACAACCATTTGCAGCTCATTAAAGTCTGACACTTATTCACTGTACCCCTTCCTTTTTCCAGACTGTCTAGAAAATTATACAAAAAGTTTCACCCCTTAGAAAACACAAGTCTTTGCCGTATGATCAAAAATGTCCACATAGTAGTAACCAACATTGTTCTGGCGATCCTAAAAGATGTTTTAAAAAAAGGAACACTGCATTGCTTAGTACGGTATTAAATAATAATGGTAGCGCAATCCGATCATGCTGCGTTTCATAATTATCATTATTATTACTTGGTAGTGATTATTAATAAAGTACAAAAAGTAAATTCGTTGAATTGTTCTGAAATGCAAGTACATTTCAATTTAGTTTCATCGTAAGCGAATGATTCCGGTTGCATGCAAATGCTCGACACCTGATAGGTCAATCAAAATACTGGGTGACGACAACGTGTTCAAATTACCAACACAGAGGTGATTTGCCGATGTTCCAGCATGACCTTCTACCTCTTGTTTTCGATGATAAACCGACCATTTAAAGACTGTGATAACAGCTCATTGTCGAATCGAAGCTTTACCCATTCACGCTAACCACAATAAAGATCGTACTCTTGAATAGGCGTCAATGACTACGGTAAAATTCGTAAGATTGTGGGTCAGGAGTGAGTGTTGTTTTGACTTGGGTATTGTGTTTTACATTCAAACAGGAAATTTTTGTTTTAATTTCGCACTTTTGGACTCATTGCGAAATTTAAACCACGCGAATGATTTTTACTTTCACAGTTAATGCAATGGATATCCGAGAGGCCGTGACCAAATGCTATTGACATTGTTTACTGTTTTACATCATCATGTCCCAGTGTTACTGATGCATACTAATACGGTGGCCATCTTGACCCATATTTATAGTATCGGTTCCTCTTTAAGTAAAAGCATGGAACTATAGTTCCATGGTAAAAGCGATTCAAATGTCATCGCTTTGAGAACACTCTTGTGAACCATTTAGTTACCGCTGCTAATTCTCACAGTTAGATAATTTTATGGGATTCATGGAGGCAAAATCTCATTTTTGTTATTTTGTCTAAAATAACAGCAGGATGCGTTTAATATGGTGAAATTTAAAATTTTAAACTCTGCGTTTTTGAGCAACAGGCTTACTTCAACTGAGGTCTCCTGACATTAAATACTGTTGATGAGGACACATATTTGGAGCCATCTTTTCAATATGTGAAGGCCTCATGCATGATAAATGTAGACTTTCTGTTGCTTGATATTACTACAGTATTACTACATTTCAATTTCTATCGTGAGTCGCGATCAAGACATCTACAAGTAAGTTGTAGCCAGCAATAAGACTATGAACCTCAACTACATGGATAAATGCATGAACTTGTAATTTTCAGTTTGTAACATTCAGCTTGTTTTGAATTCTATGCCATATATCAGTGTGGATTCTAATAGTGATCCTGGCTAACATACAAACAATAGAACATGCATTATTTTGTTACATTCCAAAGTCAAATGACCTTCACTTTGAGAAACTGTGTGATTTCCTCAGTCTGTATGATGAATCATATTATCTGATTACTTGAAATTGTCCAGTCATGTTAAAATGCATTTTAACCAACTGTATACACATAGACTGGATGATGCAAGTGTTCCATTGCATTCTAATTTTCCTCACTAATCTGTTTATCTTTTCTCTTAGAAAGAAAACGTTCATCATCAAGAGACAGGAGAAGACGTAGAGGTAATTATGAAAGTCTACAGTACAGTTCTCGCAGAAGCTTTGGCTTTTGTGGCATCATTGTCGCCTACGCATGGCTTCATTGTTGCCTCAGCATCGCATCATTGTGGCATCAGCTTCGCGTCATTGAAAATTGAATCGAATTGAATTGAAATAAAGCTAGCGATTTGTAAGACTGGTTAATAATATATCCCCCGATGCTCTTCGATTTTTTTTATTTCAAGGTGAGAAATGGATACTAGTAGTTGAAGTTCCATCGATTTCAAGGCGACTATTTAACCACGACAACTCTACGCTCTGTTGTAGTTTCGCGAGATAAAACAAAAATACAATAAATAGTACTTTAATTATTTGGTTGTACAGCCCGCAAATTACGGGACATGATCCCCATGAATTACAATAAATAAATGCTGATTGTGTTGAATGACGGACGTCGGGACCGTTTGGAGAAACAAATTACGGTAGACATTTCAAACAAATGAAATTATTAATGAAAGACGAGATTTTTCTAGGTATTTACGATCATACGGTCATACGAAATATATATAAAATTGACAAATACACCAAGAGGTGTAATAGTAGGTCATTTTTATTTTAGCCTTAGAAATATTTTCTTTCACTCAGTCCACGTCCATGCGTGGGAATTCTATTTAGCTTCATGGTCCTTCGGCTTGTCTTCTGCTTGGGGGGAAACAACAATAATTATACAAATCGTAAACTCAACACAATCAGGAAAAGAAACCCAGACAACCATGTTGTACTTCTGTTGAATACATTTTGTAGCAGTGCGTCACGTCGGAATATTGTCTAAAATAAAATATTCAATCCCAGCCAAATCTAGGTCAAAGGGTCAGATTGCATGCATATAATTATAGATAGTTAAAACAAAAAGTATTTGAACTTTTGACGGTTGTTCAACATCTATGCACGGTTACTAAACTAGTAACCGTGATCTATGAAAACCAGAAAATTTTT